CCTACAGAATATGACGAAAAAACATTTAGAAAATTAAAATCTTGTTTGTTTTCTATGTGTAAAGTGTCAGCATGACATATACATCTAAAGCTTGTGAATTGAGTACTCCAGTCTAGTTCTCCTTTCTCCCATGATGCCAGTGAAACGAAGAAAAAGGTATTGTTTAAAAAATAAGTAAATCCTTTGACCCAATTCCAAGACTGTGGAACAGGTCAGCAACTCCAAGACCATTCTGAATTTTGCTTCCCCTTGACCCCAGGCAGCAGAGGAACTGACCAACAGACCAACATGACGGTAGACAAGGCTGACTCCCTGGGACAGAAGCTAAGCCTCAAAATCAGCAGCTCAAGGGAGCAAGAATGGACCTGGCCTGCAGTGCACTGGCCCCAAGAGAAACCCATGGCTACTGTAAACTACAAACAGCTTGGCGTTTTACTCCAAAAGTGACTCCTCCATGGGAGGCTAGATTTGGAGAAGAAACACTGCCATATTGTCAGAGAGGGTTTACTCAAGCTCCATTTGGGGGAAGGCTTAAAACTTAGCTGACAAACAACTACGCCTAGGGTTTCCAGTGTTGCCATCCCACAGTGACTGGGCCAGAGATAGCCAAGAAGACAGCCATGAGGTAGGTGCAAAGGAAATAGACCCACAAGACACGTGAGGTCAAGAGGGAAGGACACTGAGCCAGCCTCTGGAAAGAAAACAGGCCTGCCAGATTTGAAATTGCTGGAAGCAAGTGCAACAACCCGCTTGAATAGGCAGCCTCACTGTGGCCTACATCCCACAGGAAGCAGTGATCTGAGTGTCCTCCCCACCAACTAGGTGAACAGAGTACAACTCAGCTAGGACAGCTGACACGGTCTGCAGTGTACAGACAGGGTCCCCCATAGCAAGGGGCACTGCACAACCTCAAAGGCTGTTAAGCTAGATGAAGAAAAGCATAACTTTCTCAATTCTAACACTGCATACTCTAGAGAGAAATCATTCATTCTAAAGTGCAAGAGAGGGCCACAAAGATAGCTCAGTGGTCTAAGCTCTTCCCTCGGCAAGCACAAGAACCTGGGTTCAATCGCCAGTACCACATGCTGTGTTGGCCCTGCCCAGGCACGCCTAGCCAGCCAGCAAGACTAGGCATGGTGGCACACACTAGAAACCCCAGCACTGGGGAGGCTGAAACAGGAGAATCACTATGAGTCCAAGATGTGTAGTGAGACCCTATACCAAATACATAAAATTAAAAACAATAACAACAAAAAAATACAGGAGAATTTTTTTCTTTTTACTCATTTTTTTCTTTCTTTTTCCATCATTGGTGTTTTGAGGTTGGGTTGGGGAGTGGGGTTTGTTCTTTATTTTTATTTTTATTTTTCTCCTTTTAATTCTTTTTCCTTTCTCATTATTTTTTCTTTATTTTGCTGGGGGTTTTTTCCTTTTCTTGTTTATTCTTTTGTTACATTTATCTAATATTAACTTTCTGCTACTTCTGAATAGGATCCTTTAATCTCATTTGCTTTTCATCTTCCATGGATTAATTTTTCAAATTCTATTTCTTTCACTGTCTAGTTCTCACCCCCTTTGTCCTTACTAATATAACCATTAAGTTTTATGAATATTTACATATTAACTCTATTCTACTAGAGAATATAGTGCTATTATTAGTGCACATATAGTTGATGGTTTTAATAGCTGATTTTTTAAGTCTTTTACTGTGTATACTATAATTATAGTCTCTTCTCTACAGCTAACAGTGGTACAATACTGACTCACAGGTGTGTCAATATCCAGTTTGCATTCGACCCTTTCAGTGCCGCTGCTTGCATCACCACTGCCAAGGCGGCACAGTCGTTGCTATTAACTGGCTTTCTCCATAGGCCAACATGTGGCTTGCTTCAGAGGCATTAACAGT